TGGGCACAATAGGATTAGGAGCCAGGTGACTGTGTTCAGAATTTCATGTTTTATCAAAATGATGCATCTCTTAATGCCAACAAATTATTGAAATTTGATGCTTTCTGCAGTCAGTATTTTTAGCCTTATTTAAGACAGGGAATTGAGATTCCGAGTGGTTAAACAACTTGCCCAAAGTCACATAGCTGGTGAGGAGAATAACAGGAACACAAAGCTAGGTCTAACTATTTTTCTTACTAAAATTTCAAATCACATTTCTCAATGGGATCTAGTCAAGGTTAGTAAAATTAATTCAGAAAAAAAAAGTCTAAGTAAAAGACAACAACATTTTAAATCTAAGGATATTGAGTAGGGCTCACATATGACCTAGTTGGCCAGGCGAATGTTTTAAAACATGCTTGGCTAACAGAAAGGTTTGTGGTTTGAATCTACCTAGTGTTTCTTAGAGAAAAGATTTGCAGATTCCAAACCATTACCATTGAATAGATTCTGACTCATAGCGACCCTATAGGATAGAGTAGAAATACCCCATAAAGAAATTCTACTCTGTAATCTTTTCAGAAATATACTGCCATATCTTCCTCTCATAGTGTCTACTGGGTTTGATCTGCTGATCTTTTGGTTAGCAGGTAAGCACTTAACTATCATGCCACCAGGGCTCCTTCTATAAAGATTGTTGTTGTTAAGTGCCTTCGAATCAGTTCTGACTCAGCAATTATGTATAAAGTTTCTGAAGAGTGACTGGTGGGTTTAAACCACTGACCTTTCTGTTAGCAGTCCAGTGTTTACGATATAGCACCATATCAGGAGCCTAGAAAATCCCATAGGGCAGTTCTAAATGCTATACAGGGTCAATGTGTGTGTGAATCAACTCTATGGCACTTAACAACAACTCTGTTATATAGGGTCTGTTATGAGTTGAAACCAGCTTGATGGCACCCAATAGCAGTGTTTAAAATTCGTTGACATTACTTTATAATTTGAAGGTTTTACATTAAAAACACATCTTTTTTAATTCTTTTGAAGAATTAAAATATGTAAGAGTACTGGATCCTCATCAATGTTAGAGCTGGGTACTGAAAGACTCACAGCCACTGAGTTGATTCAGATTCATTCTTGTTGTGTAGTGCCCGTCGAATTGGTTCTGAGTCACAGTGACCCTGTATGGGGTTTCTTAGAAGTGGCTGGTGAGGTCAAACAACCAGCCATGCAATTCAAACCCACCTTGAGGTCGAAAGCTTATCCTATGGCGCCACACCAGGATTCCATAGAGCAAGGTGGTGGTGGTGGTGGTATGTTGTGGACCTGATTCTGAATCATCAAGACCCTGCATAAGGGTTCTGAATCTGTAAATCTTTACTGGAGCAGACCTCTTTACCAGAGGTCCTTTTGAGTAGTGTAGTGGTTATGGAATCATTCTGTTAACCTCAAGGTCAGCAATTCAAAACTACCAGCTGTTCTGTAGGAGGAAGATGAGACTTTCTGCTCCCGTAAAGATTTACAGCCTTGGAAACCCTATATAGGATCTGTATGGGTCAGAATTGGCTCAGCGGCACTTAACGACAACAATATTAAACCTTTGGCACAGTAGTTAAAGCACTTGGTTCAGGCTTCAAACTCATCAGCTGCTCTGTGAATGGAAGGTATAATAGTCTGCTTTCATAAAGAAATCCTATGAAGCAGTTCCACCCAGTCCAAAAGGGTCAATATGAATCCAACTCTATGGCAATGTTTAGTTTTTTTTTTTTTTTGGGGGGGGGGGGGGGGAGTAGGGGGTTAATGATTTTTTGTTTGTTTTATTAAATCAGTGTAAGAGGTGAAAAATATTAATGTGGAGTCCTGGTGTGGCGCTGTGGGTTAATGCGTCAGACTGCAAAGCCGTTTGAACTGCAAGGTCTGCAGTTAAGCTCACCAGCAGCTCCTCGGAAACCCTACACAGGGTTGTTATGGGTTGGAACCGACTCCATGGCACTTAACAACAACAACAACAACAGATTTTAGACAAGACTGGTCATTACGAAGGAGCCCTGATGGAGCAGTGGGTTAAGTGTTAAGTTCCTTCCAGTCAGTTCTGAAAGAATTCAGAAAGAATCTGCTATTGCATTTGAAATGTATTTTTTTTCTATTAGCTAAATTATTTTCATTAAAACAATTTTAGAATTTTGTCTAGTTTTTCAATTGATGAGTTGATCACAAAGGTCAGCAATTTAACCCACCAAATGCTCAACAGGAGAAAGATAAGACTATCTGCTCCTGTAAATATTTATCGTCTCAGAAATGCGATGGAACAGTTCTCCTGCGCCCTACAAGGGGGGTCACTGTGAGTCACGATCAACTGGATGCCAGTGGGCTTTTGGTTTGGGTAATTACCAGTGAACTGTTAGACTAGCTTTTGTTTGGATTTTGAATGTACCCCCACACTTACATCCAGAGGAAATGTCTTTTCCACATATCAGTGTCTCTTGAAAATATTCAAGACATTCAGCTGTGCAGTACACAGAAACACGTGGTTCGCGAAAGTTACTATACCAAAGCCAAGCTGTTGTTTTATTTATCATTGTCGCTTGAAATCTTTCTTCATCATTTTTGTAAAAAAATACTCTTCTTGGTTGGCAGTTCTTAATTGCTGCTTGACAATATATAGAAATATTCATACCCATCTTAAAGACTGTGGCTGGTTCTACCCAGATGTGACCAGAGCAGCGTAGAGTTGTAATTCCTGGAAATAAAATGACAAGATAATAAATTCTCTATAAAATATTATAACAGACTATTCAGAAAGAATATGCTATTGTATTTGAAATGTGCTTTTTCAATTAGCTAAATTATTTTCATTGAAACAGTTTTAGGACTAAACCTATTTTATCAATTGATGAGTTTCAGCGTGCTTCTTTTGGTGTTCAACAGCAACACAAGATGAGATTCAACCTTTAAGTGTTCCTAATTTTCTAAAGAGCAGGGCTTTGAACCAGTTTATCCCTGAGGAGAAATTGTATTTCTATCCCAGTTTTACAGACTCAGAATCTCTGCTAAAATGCAAATATAACTAACTCTTCTATTTTAAAGTGCATTGCGGTGCTGTGGGTTAATGCATTTGACTGCAAAGTCAGTTTGATACTCAAGGTCGGCGGTTCAAGCTCACCAGCCAATCCACAGAAACCCTATACAAGTTCACTACAGGAGGGAACCTACTACTTAACAACAACATGTTAAATTGCAGAACTGGACTACTATGGGCCTAAATCAATTTTCAAAGGTAATATTAGAATAATTAGAGACATTGCAGAATCTGAACACAATTCTCTAGTTACTCAATCAAGATATAATGGCTGCTTTCATTAGAACATTATAAATATAATGGATAAAGTTATACTCTAATCTAACCAATGGCAAAATGTATTGCTTGATAACCACTAAAAATTCATCATTAATTGAATAATATGAGGACATATTTAGAATATAATGCTTATTTTAAAAAATAAGTTACAAAACAAGGTATTTAACATAGATTCAATGTTAAGAAGAAATAAACAGGAGAATGAATTAAAACAAAATAGACTAAGATAATAATGTCAATCTGTGTATTAAGGTACTTTTTCATGTTGGAATAACATATTTATAATTATATGATGGATATGTTATATTTACAATAAACCCTTTACATTACAGTTACTTTTATCAACACAAATGAAAATGCATTATTAATGAAATAAAATTTATATCAAAGAAAGCATCTACACATTAAAGATTTTGTCAAAATTATTATAGACTTTCCATGGAAATCCTTACATTAAATTTTTAATACCTTAACAAAACAGTAAAAACTAACATTAGATTTTTTTTTTTTAAGTTCTTGTCTTTGGAATATGAAGTTTAAAGAATCAACATATAATATAAATATAATTGTATATTTTCACTAATGTAATAAATGTTTACATATAAATTGCAAACATTTAAATGTTTGAGGAGCCCTGATAGCACAATTGTTAAGTGCTCAGCTGCTAACTGAAAGGTCAGTTGTTCAAACCCACCAACTGCTCTAAGGGAGGAAAGATCTGACAATCTGCTCTTGTAACGATGACATCTTAGGAAAGCCGAGAGGCATTTCTACTCTGTCCTATAGGGTTGCTATGATTTGGAATCAGCTCACTGACACACAACAACAAATGCTAAAGTAGTGATAAAAATAATACATCAATAGAGTATTGCAGCCAAAGGCAGAAAAGAGTTTCTAAGAAAGCCTTTGACTACTTTGAATAAGTCCAGCAATTCCAATTTAGATAAACTTCATCTCAACTGCGCATTAAGGAAATTGATCCTATCATGGGACCACTGCAAGTCATCTTTGAAAATACATGGAAAATTACAAAAATGTCAGAAACTAGATTTGTGCAAATATTGTCCTGTGTTTCTAAAGTGAAAGGAAATGGAATCTCAGAAACTCTGGCAATTAAGTTTCATGATATTCAAGAACGAATTAATAAGTTAATGATTGTTGTTAAGTGCCGTTGAGTCGATTCCGATCCATAGTGACCCTGTATATGGTTTCCGAGGAGCAGCTGGTGAGCTTGAACCATCAAGCTTGCAGTTCAAAAAGATTTGCAGTCTGGTGTATTAACCCACAGCACCACACCAGGACTCCTTTTCAGTATACCGAAGGAAAAAAATCATGTATCAGTAGATGTCAATGTAGATTATATGTTGTTGTTTGTTGTTAGATACCATCGAGTCTGTACCAACTCATAGTGACCTTATGTATAGCAGAACGAAACACTGCCCAATGCTGGGCCAAAATCACTACTGTTGCCATGTTTTTGTCCATCTTTGCTGCCACTTGGCCAATCCATCTCATTGGGGGTCTTCCTTTTTTTCTCTGACCCTCCACCTTACCAAACATGATATCCTTCTCCAGTAAGTGGTCCCTCCTGACAATATGTCTGAAGTATGAGAGACAAAGTTTAGCCAT